TACTTATAGCATTTCATTGAAATACTTTGGCATGGTATATTTCTATGGATTTTCATCCTGAGCATGATTTCTGATATAGCATATATTATTATTTTCTGGGAAATTATACAGGTTTTATGACAAGGGGTTAGAACTTTTGAGAAATGATGATTTTGAAAAGCTTTGTTTTTGCCTACTCACACTTTCTGTTTTGCGCCCCTCTAGGTTTTAGGTAAAAGTGCGTGGAGGCTCACGGGGATTTCGACGGTGGTTCTGACAGAACATCTTAATGTAGGATCACCCTTGGGTGTTGTATAATTAGTACTTGTCCTGCCTAACTGCACTTAGGCTACTTATGCTCTGGTTGTGTAATTCACACTTAATCTCGCACTAGCACGTTATCTTAACTAGTACTGCTAGTAGGTTGGTTTTTTTTATTCACTCGTATTCTCCATATCTTTATTGCTTCCGCACTGTGCACATGGTTACGTCACTCTCACGTGACGGCCAACACGCCTTGATCTAGGTCGGGGTGTGTCAGAATAATTCTAGGCGAGTTATATTTAGCTATTTCAGTTGGAGATGGCCTAAATTGTGCACATTTGCCAAATGCTTTTGATTGGAGACTGTTTTGTTCATTTCTAGGGCTAATATTGGCCCAAAGCCCTTCGTTAGAGATGACCTTAAATATCCTCTTTTTTTCTTTTTTTTTCTTTTTTTTATCAACAGTTAAAATAGCCTCTTTTTTGTGAGGCGTAGCCCACCCTCCTTTAGACCATCTCCAATCTTTGAGTTAAAACTTAAAAATTTTAGCCCATAAAATTTAGGTTTTAACTCAGAAGCAGCTTTTTTGTTCAAACCCTTCTGGGTTGAAATTTTAGCCCCAGATTATTAAAAAATGAATTTAGGCTTTTTTATCGTTATACTATTCCATCCAAAAGTTTGATTTTAGTTCAAAGTGATCAATACATAGAATCAGAACAAGTGCTGAAATTCGTGCGGGAGCATATACTTTAAATTTTAAAGAGAGGGTTCGAAAACATATTTATTCTGATTCAGAGGGAGAAATGCACTGAAGTACTGATGTATACCATGTGCCGGAATTTACATATAGTAATGTTTTTTTCTTAAAGTAACTTTTTTAAAAGAAAAAAAAATTATGTAGACTATCATAATTTAATTTTATGAACATTTTAACCTAAAAATATTTAGATTCTGACAAATACTAAAAAATCACTAACCGATACCATGAAACTCGTGAAACACTATGAAAGAATATGAAACACATAAAAGAATTTTTTTTTTATAATTACTTTAGCAGTTGGATTTAAATTTGGACCATTAGATTTTTTTTTTACCATTAGATTTCATCATATTAGATTTTAACCGTTGGATTCAATGAATTTATAAATATAAAACTTAAAAAGGATATACATATATGATGGAATTTGAGATAAGTTTAGAACCTAAAATTTGAGTTTACTAGAAATGAGTTTTGAGTTTTAACTCATATTTGCCCCAAGGGTTGGAGCAATTTGAGATAAGTTTAGAACCTAAATTTGAGTTTACTCGGGTTGAGTAGGTCTTAGTGTAGATAAATCATTTGTTAAAAGAAAAGCCTCTTTTTAGACATTTTATCAACGTAGTACTAAATTTAAAGAATTACTTAACAATAGGGAGACAATATTTGCCTCTATGTTATTAAAACAACTTGTATGACATGAATTCACTGCTACATTATGTCTTGTGTCAATAATACAAGAACATAAAAAAAAAGTAAAGCATATCATTGTATAATTAGAATGGAAGGCTGCCATGCAGCCGTATACCTGCACCATACAAATCTTTCTCTTATCTTACCCTCCCAACAAAACAAAACAAAAAAGGTATGGAGACAAGTAGCAAAACCTACTTTCGATGGGAGCAAGGGTAGCGCGAAACATTGACCAAGAAAAAGGATAGCCTCCAACGTGGAGATATATGGTAATTCATTCCTTCAATGAAAAGAAAGAGACAATTGGAGTTTGGACAGCTTCCAAGTAGAGAGGAGGACACTAATAGCATCCAATGTTTCGGATATGAGTTTTTCTACAACCACTAATTAATTTATCACCTAACTTATTTAGATCTCAATTCATATGTTGTGTTCCACTTTGAACCTTATCTATTCACAACGTATAAGACACCGTCATATAATTTAGTATAAAGTAGAATTTGAATAAATAGTTAGCCTCTATGATGCAAATTTGGATTTGTCCGGTTAGCCTAAACAATGTGTTTCTATTTTACACTTAACTTTAAATTTACTCAACCGTAATTTAGGTTAATTTAAGACTACAAGATCAGATGAATATATGAAATTACACGAGAATCGGGTGATGTAAGAGTATCTCCAAAGGAGATGTCAAATCCTAAGTGGAGATATGACTGTGCATATTTGACATAAAAAATCCATTCAACTGAAGTATGATTTGCTAACTGAATTTGAAGCCTTTGTGTTTAGGAGTCAAAGTTGACTTCAACTTTAAATTAATTTTTTTATTAGTTTAATGGTGAGTGCCTTTTTCCACTAACATTTCAACCAATAAATTTTGTTTCAATAATTTTTTTAATAAATACAACCATTTAAAGCTCTATATTAATAAAAATAATATTTGACAAATAGGTTAGAAAAATATAAGACTTTAGATTGTCACATCAACCATTAATTGTAATTTGACTCTAATAATTTGAATTTTCCATTGGAGATGATCTAAGCTGCAAGATATTGATACTAAAATAGTCTTACGAAAATAGTATAGAAGGAGGTAGATTGAGAAGTCAGCTTGGTCATAGATCAAACCACAACTAGTGACCCAATAGTAAGAGCGCAAACTGCAGCTCCCCAATAAACAAAAAGTTGTGGGAGGTCCTGGGTTCGATACTCTGAGTTAGTGAGTTTGCTTGATTGTGGCTCATAGTGACATTTCTCATAGCTTTTCCTGGTTCGGGAGCGGTGGATAATAGTGACTTACCACCAGTTTTTCCCTTTCTGAAATAGAAAGCTTGGTCATAGATTACTACCAATCTCTCCACCACTTTTGAATGGAGGACCATCAGATTCAGATCGGACGGACATTAATTGACTCAAGTAATTAAGTGATGCAATAATTTCGATGGAAAATATTCTCCAATTTATTTCATGCATTCCAACTTTTCATTTAGCTATTTTTTTCTTTGTCACAGCATCACCCTTTTTTTTTTTTTTTTTTTTGTGGGTTTTGTCGGCCGATTTCTTGTAGACAACAACTTGATCATATGCTAACTTTGACGAGATATGTAAATACATTTTGCATGTATAACTCGTGATGATCATTCTATTAGTATTATTATACATCTAATATAAAAAGCGGGAATGTAATCCGAACTTGATTACATAGCAGAATACTGACTCTTTTGGTTGACTTGATTAAGCCTAAATCTGAGATGCAGGAGTCAAAAGTGGGAAAGAGTGATTAAATAGTTTTGTAGTTTGTACACACTTGGTTAGTGACAATGTGTTTATGTATGTCAAATTTACGAGAAATTCTTTTACTAGAGAATGCGTAGTGTACATTTTCAACACATAGATAACAAGTGTCTAACTTTAGGCGTTTCACTGCTGTAAAGTGTAAACATCACCAACCATTCTTGTAGGTAGGCAGGTGGATGTGGAAAAATGATAAGTTACCAGTAACAGATGGAAAACTAGTCTCATATACTTTCATGGATGTCTGAAAGTCAAAGATGGAGTACCATTCTGCCATGAATTAGCAGTCCCACTGCCACCCATATCATATGTCTATACATGGGAGTAAGATTTTCTCCCCTTTCTCCCCTTCTATTCCCATTCCATTCTCTCATTTCCTCTCGTAGATTGTTTTTCATCTTCTTCTGACTATTAAAAATTAAACACAAAATGTTGACGTGGCTTAATTGTAACTGTTCGAATATGAGGAGACGGAAGAGAATGAAGATTAGAAGGAAAGAGAATCCTAGTCCATGTATATGCGTGGGGCATAGATCCAAAAGAATGTGTCGTTTTGTATGTTGAAAGTGGGTTGAGGGTAGCTGGCTGTGAGCCTGTGAATCCGTGCTGAACAACGACAAGAACAATGAATTGTCGTTAAATTGGTCGAACATCCAAATCACCAAACTTGACTTTAGTTGAACAACATGTTTTAGTTCAGTGAACAAATTACAAATCAAATTAAAAAAATAACAAATCAAAGTAAAGAGAGGACAACAGAGCTCATCTCTAGAGGTAACGCACTTTGTTACATAATTACATAATTATACTTGGATTGAATCCGAAGATAGCATGAAGGAAGCATCGCGTTCACACCGACACCGACACCGACACCGACACCGACACGTTTTCTGACATTAATGATATTAATAGTATTGGCAATGGCACCACATGACATCACAACACTACAAAAATAAAAACAAATGTTTATCGTTATTTGGTACGAAGAATACGATGTACCACCAATCCAAACTAATACGGGGGGTGGGGGCCCCACAAGGAAGGCCGAGAGGAGAGGCAGGTGGCCGTTGATTTTATTATGATTGCTTTCATATCATTGATTCCAGCTAACATCAATCATACCTTGTCTATCTATTCATTCTTCATAAATCAAGTAAAACGCTTAATTTAACAAAGAAGCCAAACAACACATCATTTTGAATCTCTTTCAAACTACGGTCTAGTAATATTCTTCTTCATTTGTAAGTGACAAAACTTAAATTTAATTTTCACCAATAAAAAATATGAACCACATTGCCTCTCCTTCCTCTTTGCATAGATAATATCGGTTGTTTAAATAACATAAAAATGCTTAATTGGACCGAGATAATTCTCTTGCAATCCACGTTATAATCATCCTACAAACACATAATGTACTATTTGAATACAAGATTGAGTTACACATCGACATTACATATTTTTAATACAACTAGGCAATTATAATAAATTAATATTAAATTCGTCGTCAACAAAATTCAAACTTAGAACAATTTCTGATTAAAAAACCCATTTCTTCATACTTACATATCCTCCCATAATTTGGTTTACACGGTCCATGTGTCTAGAAAAATAATGTGCGATTGTCATTTTTCTACCTAGAAATATCTCACGAAATATAATGCGATCCAAAATATAGGACCCACATGCGATTTAGTCTTACAAAAGAACATTTATCTGATGTAGCCAACATTTTTCTCAATGGAATCTACATACATTTTACCAAAATACACAACAATTTTCCAATTTTTAGGAGGGAAGGCAAAAAATTTAAAGAAAAATTCTTGGAAAAAGAAATGGGCCGGGCTTACGGTTTAATTACCACCCTAGGCCCAACACTACCCGTCAAACGTAGGGCCTATTTTTCTTCTTCTTCTTCTCGTCGTGTATTAGACAGACAGACAGTACTCGATTTCTGCATTTCATACCAATATGTACACGAAGAACACGCATCGAAAAGACAAAAATGACCCTACTAGCTTACCTTTCTCCTCTTTATCTGGTTGTTGATTCCCTTGGCCTCTTTAGACATGTTGTCTGAGACGAGGTCTGGGTTGGAATTTCCTATATGGGATTCGATAGTTTGGGGGCAAGTTTTTACGCCTCTCCAAAACCACATTCCCACTTGGTTTCTCCAACTTCCTTTCACCTGCACGAACAAATAGATACCCATTTCACTTACTTTGCTTCTATTATAAATGGGCAATATTTCCGCCAAACAACGGAAAACTATTATGTGTTACGACGTCCGCAGTCATTCCTCTTTACATAGAAATTCCAAGCGAGACATGTGCGCAACAACTTTTTCTTTTGTGGTTTTAATGAATTACTTTAGCATACGTATCAGAGAGTAGGAAATGTTTTCAACACTATGTATTATAAAATGATACGAGAGATGAATGACTGAGATTGAAAATAAAAGATAGTTAATAAGTATTTATTTATAAAAAATTAAATGGGAGTTTTAGAGTGGCATCGCACTACAAGCAAGCTATTAAGTCGTGCAGGTTGAAGCTACCTAACTCTCAATGCGTTTTTGTCATTATTTAAATAACACGAGAACATAATGATCAAATCTTACAATGATACACCTACTAATCTTAATCAACCATTTTAATCCGCAAAAGAAAACGCTTACTAAAATTTAAACATGGGTTGGAAAATTGGAAAGTTTTGCAATCTCAACCGCGTTTAAACGGTCGAGATTGTCAAAATTCAATCATGCAAATCCAGACGTCCACTGAACCGATGCGCATTGTAGAATTTTTGTGAAAGGCGCAAAACTTCCATTCCCATTTTAAATGACTGACGGATGTCTCGTTTATATGTGTTTTTAAAATGACTAAAAACATTTTTAGAAAAAATATTTTTTTATTCTAAAAGCACTTAAAATACTTTGCGCAAGAAACATTTACTTGCATTTTATAAAAAAATTAGTTCTAAAAACATTTTCACTCAAAGCATTTTAAGTCAAAAGCACATCCAAAATTCATAATAATCCGATTACGAATCGGACTTACCTCCCCTAACTAATAATCCAATTTTCCCGGGTTACTGTTACGGACCAAACTCACAACTGAGTCCACTCGCTAACAAGGACCTAACTCACCAAATTCACATACCAAAAACAAAATTAAAAAGAAATAAAATAAAAAACATAAAAAAAACGCTTACCAGAGTGAATGCGGCGAATCTCAGTCCCGGAAAATGACTTTATCGGCCAAATCCAACAAGGGTTTCAGGCAATCCGGCGAGAACTTCCTCGCGAACAAGTACGACTCCGAGAAATTCGACTTCCGCAGCCGATAAATCAACTCCGCCGACACTTCCACGGGTCGGTACGTGTACGGGTGCCCGTTAACCGTGCCCGTCCAATTAACCCGGGTAAGAGTGTAACGGGTTACCCCTTCCGGATCCGCCATTGACAACAAGGTCGGAAAGTAGTGCTCTTCCGGGTAGCATTCGTCTTCTCTGTAACACGGCACTCTGAACTTTCTCCAGAGCGCGCGATCCTTGAGCACCACGAGCGCGTGATGGCGCGTAAGGAGGAAGAACTGGGATCCGACCCGGAATTGATCGAATGGAACCTCCGGCATCATCGCGAAGCGTCCTCGGGCGGAGTACCGCTTCCAGAGATTGGTGGATTTGGAGATGATCTCGATGAAGCTCTTGTAGCGGATCTTGAGTCCCATCCGGGTCAACTCGGCATCGTCGGAGTCGGCAGCGGGGCGGGTCAAGTCGAAGGTGGTGGAGAAGAAGAGGGAATGGTAGACGTATCGAAAAGAGTGGAGGGGGACGCAGTGCTGGGAGAGGACGGCGAAGAACATGTTGGCAGGGTCATCGATGACGGCGGAGGCGAGAAGGCGGCGCGTGGCGGAGATCAAGGTGGCGGAGGCGCGGTAGGTGCGCTTGGAAGGGACGAGGCGGTTGTGGAAGACGGTGCCGGGGGGAAGAGTGACGTTGGCAGAGGGGTCGGCATGGACGTAAATATTGTAAAGATTGGGGTTGGTTTTGGAGAAGAAGCAGGACCAGAGAGGGGCGAAGTGGAGGTCGGTGTTGGTGAGGAAGAGGAAGGCAATTTTGGGCTTGGAGGATTTGGAATCGAGGGCGAGGTGGGAGAAGGTGGGTTTGGGTCGGTTAGGGTTAGGGTTGAGGGCGCGGGAGAAGAGGATTTGGTCGTCGATTTCGTCGGCGGGGGAAATGGGGACGGTGGGGTGGGAGGGGGGGAGGAAGCGAGGGCCGAGGAGGAATAGGAGAGGGAGAGAAAGGAAGAGGAAGAAGGAGACCAGAAATGGGGTGGAGGAGAACATTGGGTTGGAGCATGAAAGGGAGGTGGCGGTGGAGGCGGGGGCGGGAGGGGGACGGTGGATGTTGTGGTGGAGGTCGGGAGGGGGAGTGGAGGAGGACTTCTTGGAGGTGGAGTCCCTGTGTTTGGGGGTGGAAGGCGGCGGCTGAGGCGGCTGGTGCTTGAACAAGTTGAGTGGAGTCAAAGAGTGATGGGTGGGGGGAGGATGGGTTTTGGAAAGTCGGGAGAGTTGGAGATTTGGAAGGGAATCCAGATTGGAGGTTGTGGGTTTCGCGGGGGAGAGAGAGGGGTGGAGGGATGCAGAGATACAAGGCCTATATTACTTGCGCTGTTACGGGTCATTAAATCCAAATCCCTAACTTATTTCCTCTCTTCTTTGTCTTTTACTTTTTTATTTATTAGTATCACTTTCACTGCCCCCCTCTCTCTCTTATTTTGCTTTTCAACCAAGAAAAAAATGAAATTTATATTATTCAGATTTGTAATAACTAAAATAAATATTATTTTAAAGGGCTTTGATTGATACATTTTTGGGGCTGACTATCATTTGCACGGAGTATCTATTTTTCTACATTTTACTATTAGATTTTGAAGTTGCGTCTAGTTTATATCTTTATTCTATTTATCATACTGATGAGGTTTTTTTTTTTTTTTTTTTTTTTTTTGGAAGAAAAGTAAATTCAGTACCAACAAAACATAATTACAAGAAATGAGGTCCAATAACAATATACAAACATCCAAGATATGGACCACCAAAAGAAAACAGCAAGAAGCCCAAAACCAAACTTTCGAGCCCAAACGAAACACTGAAAAGAAGACTCCAAATTCCATTAGAGAGCACAACATCGTTCGCCACCACACAACGGAAGAAACCAAAGGAAAGAAACCCACTAGCATCGGTGCCATCAAAGACACCCTAAAAGAAGGAGGTGGTGTAATCACTCGAGTTGGAGCTCTACACACCTTCCGAGAGATCCGCGAGAAATCGCCTTGTAATTGTGAGAAATCGCAATGAGAAAAGCGGGTGACGAACCGAATTGTTGGATCAATGAAGGATGGAGCTGATTGGAAACGATATGGAGTGGATTAGTTGAAATCGTGGAGGTGTAAGGAAGGGGGAATGAAAATAGGGAGTAGGCACAGGGAAATTAGATGTCGAAGGGGTTGGGGGGAAAAGAACGATCAAACCAAAAGGAGGAGAAAAAGATTGCCACCAACCCTAGCCAAAGTTAGGGCTGGCAGCTAGAAAGAGGATGAGGTTAAGGAGGTCACTCACACAGATGTGAGAAAAGCACTCACAAAGAGAGAATCTCTCTCACAAGATAGAGAGAAAATTTAGGTTCACAAATTTAGGGAGATTTATGTTATGTCTTATAAGTCTTATATGTGGGCTAGGGGTCTGCTGTCCCTAATTTGATGTCTTTTTTGTGTCTATTTCCTAATTTTTTTACACGTGTCCATTAAATTAACACCAAATTTAACATTGTTAACTTTTCATAAACTAATTAAACAACAAAAAATTAAAGAAAATAAAAATCATCACTTGATAACCACTGATTGTAACTACACAACCTCATCACTGTCGACTGCTACAACCACACAACCCTATCGTTGCCAACCATTACAACCACACTAGTGACATCACCCTATCACCGCTAATATGAGGAGACGTTGCTCCTCACAGACGGCGAAGCTTCCTTTCTCTCTTCAAATTCTCGGTGATTGATCCATCTCGCCAATACGTGTGAAGTTTGAAGTTGAAATTTAAGGATATCTAATCGATTGATGTGATCAAACCATCTTTGCAGGCAAGAGAGAGGAAGAGAGATTTTGAAACCCCAAATGAAACAAAGAAGATAGTCAATGATGGGAAAAGCAAAACCCGCAAAAATATCTTCAATGAATTTAGGAAATAATCAAATAATACCAAAGTGGGGGGGGGGAGAGAGAGAGAGAGAGAGAGAGAGAGATAATACTCATTGGGTTTTGCGTCACGGTTGGATCAGAGAATGAAGGAGGGACGAAGCTTGCAACTTTCGACTTGCGGGAGAGGTTCGAACTTTGAAATTGAAGGGAAGGTTGAGAGCTTGCAATTAATGGATGTAGGATGATGAGTTTCCACAGGGTTTAAAGGTTTCTTTAAAGGATTGCAGGGAGACTGGGGCAGGTTATTGATACGGTGGTCGTTCGTTTTTTTAATAGTTTTTTTATTTTAATTAAATTTTTTTTCAAATGAACAGTGTTAAAATTAAAGTTAAGTGGAGGAACATGTGTCACAAGATTAGAAATGAGACACAGAGAAGATACATAATTTGGGACAACAAACCCGCGACCTCATTTGTGTGGGTGTCGGAGCATATTAAGATATTTAAGGCTCATTAATGTGCGTGTCTCCGATGGGTGACGATAGAGGATATAAGGCTTAGTATATAAGTGCTGCTGACAGGTGACATAGTAAATTATAAGCAATAAGACTCATGTACATGTGTATCATTGAAAACTTGGGTCAGCAAAAACACCTTAGATTACAGCAAGAAAATCATGTTATATGGGTTCATAGCTTGATTTGATGCATGAGTAATATGTAAAGTCTAGTTTTTATTATTTGGCTTCCCTTGTTAAATGTTGTAAATTGTACTACACATGCTCTAATTAGATTTAGGGTTTAATTGTTTCTCAGGGACATGCTGCTGGAAATATCACTTCAAGAGCTTAATTTCTCTCATCAAAGGTTTGTTTATACATATGCATTTCATGTCATTATTTCCAGTTCATTCTGCCTAGTGGTTCTATCTGGTCAAAACTTCTTGCTGTTTTCACGCGAGCTGGGCACACACTTTAGGGCAACCCATATGGGCTTTCTGACAGCCTTTTCCTCAAGAGTGTTTTTCAATCCTAGATCTTTTTAGATTGTGTTTGCAAATGACACGTGACATTTTCATCCCTTCGATTTGTCTGAAAATCAGCCCTCTATATAGAGTTAAATATAAGGTTCTTTTCAATTTGGCTAGGAGATTTATATTTTCTAATAAGGGTTGTTTTCAACTGTGAGCTACCCTTTGGTTCTTAATTGAAAACCCTAGCTACAAAATCACACTCATGCATTAAGTACCCACATCATTGCATATTAAGGTAACATTGCTTTTGTGATTTTGATATTTGTTTTAGGTCAAGTTTTTCTAAGTTTCAAATCTTTGAACTAACCTATTTTTTGATTCGCGTTAGTTTCATCTTTCAGGTGTTTGACTGGTGAAACTGACTAGACATCGAATTCAGATTTGCACCAACTTCATAATAACATCATTTGCATAAGTTGATTTGATTTCGGTGCCACAAAGTGAAGAGCTCAGGAGAAGTTGCCACTTTGTGAAGACCAAAAGAGTCAATCTCATGAAAGGCAAGGTTGCACAAAGGTACAAGCTGCTCTATAGATTAGGATCTAGGAATTGAGCTTGTACGGTTACTTTGTAAGAATCTTGATTTCACAAATGGATTGGGCTCAATGGAGAGTCCCAGGTTTTTTAACCCAGAGGTGGATTTTTTCGGCCAAAAACATCCCGTGCAATTTATGGCTTTTCTAGTTCACTTATATTATTCTTCGCTTGTGATATATGTTCATTATTATTAGCAAATAGATAAGTCCATGTAACTAAGATTGTCAGAGTTAAAATGTGCACTGAACTGGACCTTAGTTAACTAGGTTCACTTCAGTAAACCGAGCTTTGAACTAACTACTTCCGCTATGAGTAAACTAACATATCTGATCTTAGTTGATGAGTGTTGCTGACTAGTCAAACAAACATGTATATAGATTTTAGATTTCAAGTTATTCCACTTGGCACCAATTTCATTTAGTATCAAAGCCTTGGTCTAGATATACATAGAGTGGTCTCTGGGAGATGCTGGTATTGGTGGATCTTCACCATGGATCATGATCATGTTACGGGATCTTGCAACTCTCCTCCGTTCTTTGTTGGAAAAAAAAACTATGCTACATGGAGCGAGAAGTTTCAAATCTTTCTAGAAGCACAAGATCTAATTGCAGTGGATTATCTTACTTTTGAATGTAAGGCTTATTCGAGGATAGTCGATGGAGAATCTGTGGTAAAGGCCAGAGATTTGTGGAATCAATGGGAGATTAATTCAGCTATGGCTAATAGAAAAGCACGGAATGCCATTGTTTCAGTCATCTCACCAACTCAATTAACTCATATTTGTTATTGCATCACTACAAAACAAGTATGGGGCAAACTTAGAATTCTACATGAAGGTGACAGCCAAGTGAGGGATCTTAAACTCCAAATGACACTTTCAAAGTTTGAAGATTTAAGAATGTTGGAGTCTGGTCTTTTATGAGAAAGTTGAACTATTGACTAATGAGGCATTGGGATTGGGAAAACCTATTGATGAGACAACAATTGTCTAAAAAATCTTGAGGACCTTGTTTAAGAGATTTCAAGCAAAAAAGGCTGTTACACAAGAAGTTCAAGACTTGAATGAGATTAAGCTTGGAAAGTTGGTTGGTAAACTCATCACCTATGAGATGGAGTTGGACATGGATGAAGGTGAGTCCAAGAAGAGAAAAGAGGTTACTCTTCAAAGTGTTGAAAAATTTCAAGCAGTGAATGAATTGTGTGATCAATCTCCTGATGACGATCTTGCCTTATTTGTTAAACAATGGCGAATGATTCTCAAGAATAAAGGAAAATATGTTAAAACAGTTTGGGAGTCATTAAGCAGTCTATTTGGTCAACATAATGATAGGTTCTCTTCTGGTCGGAATCAAGGGAGGTTTGTTAATAGGATGGACAAGTCTTCTTCAAGTGTACCTGGACCATGTTTTGAATGTGGTGGAAGAGGACATCATGCTGTTGAGTGTGCAAACAATAAAATGTCTAGTTAAAAACGTGACAAAGCCATAATGGCTATATGGAGTGACAATGAAGATGGAGAATCTGTCTGTTCTAACAAGTCATCAGAAGATGAAGAAAAAGTTGTTGCCTTTGTTGCATTTGTAAAAGAAGCCTTTACTAAGGACAATGATGAAGTTTTGAATGGTTTTAAAGAAGTATTGCATCATGATGCGTTTAACATGTATGACTCTCTGTTTGATGAGACGTGTTTTAAATTTGAAAAATACTGAGCTATTCGAGAAGGTGTCTGAGTTGCAAGAAGTTGAGTCTATCTGTTTGGTCAGGACAAAGTTGAATGAGATAGTTATTTTTCTTGAAGCTCAGCTTTATGATCTGAATGAAATGGCTCATTTATGTATTTATGAAAACGAAAGAGATAATCTTATTGCCTCACTTAAAGCTCAGGTTCAGGAATTGATGATATCTCAAGAAAGACTACAA